CCTGGTTTGGTGCCTGAGTTTCAGGGCCGGTCGTTCTGGTGAACGACCGAAAATAGCCCTTCGTTTCAGGCTAAAAAGGCTCTTGCCATTTTTAGTTTGAAACGACACAGGGACTGTAGGCCCCTGATTTCAGGCTGAATTCTAGGCTTTTTGGCTGAAGGGCGCAGGGCCTGGAAAATGGCCTGCGTGGGCAGGCGCAGCATGTAACAGTGTGTGTGTGCTTATCTGCTGTGTATTGTTCTCTTTCAAGTTCCAACCACTTTTTTCAGTCTTACTTGCCTCGTCTGGAGTTTTTTGTGCCCTAAGGCCCCTAAGCCCTTTAGTTGTGCAATGGTGCAACAGACCCATCTTTTTTCTATTTTTTCTAATTCACATAATGTGACACAACTGTTACAGAACACGCATGTCAGGGAGAAAAAAAAAAGAAAAAAAAGAAAAGGAGGAGAAAGAAGGAAAAAAAAGAAACCTCCAAAAGGCAAAGGCAAACTGGACGACAAGAAATCGAAGCTCATGCATGAATCGGTAAATATTAAATATCAAATTGTTTAATTGCCCATTTTGACCGCAGTTAATAGACTATGAAGTTGAACAGGAGTAATTAAGGAGGTAACGAAAAAAAAAAAAAAAAAGAGACGGAAAGCTTTTGCCATCGGCTTTTGGTGAAAACTGAGAGCCTCAAATTCCCTATGGATGCCTATGATGCTTGCAGCCTTGTGCTATGACATCACTGCAAATTGTGTTTGTCACAAGGACAAGAAGGAAATATGCATTCATACTCACAGCAAAACAACAACAATGTCGTCCTTTTTTTTTTGTTTCTTCTTCTTCCGATTCCCAGCATCTTGTCCCTTGCATTCTCCTCTCGTTCAAGAATGAAAACATCATCATCTGGCGGGGCGTGGATTGGAAGTCCCCAAAAGAGCGAGCAGCAGAGGTGGCGGCTGCGGCGGCAGCGGCAGCAGCAGCGGATGGGGCAACGACTGCTGATTGGGAAATAACAGGTCCAATCGGCGGAACCGATGCGGAGGGCGTCGACAACGCAGAAGCGCAAACTCGAAGCGAAGATGAAGACGGAAATGGGCGTGGCAACCAAGAGCTGTGGGATGCGGTGATGGCAGACGCCGAGCTTTGCGATGCCGTTGAAATGATGGAAGGAAGTGACGATGACGATGATCTGGGGGATAACTCCGGTGGAGGTGAAGGAAGTGATGACGACGAGGAGGAGTTTGATGAGGAGTTTGAGGAGGAGCTGGAAGGCTATGGAGACGATCTCGAAACGGGAGAACGAAGCGACAGCGGCGATACGGACAGCAAGTCGGGTGCAAATGAACAAAGCAAGGGTGTTTTGGGTCAGTTGAATGATGGATCAGCAGATCGTGAAGACGATGACCCCGAGGAGAGCGATGCTGGATTGGTAATCCAGAACGACGAGCCTGAACCTGACCCTGTTCCTGACCCTGAGTCTGAGGCTGACTTTGAACCTCAGTCTGACTCTCAGCCTGAGCAGAGTGTTTCTGGCAGCAGCCAGCTTGAGTGCTGATTGAAGGCATTTATAGCCTCTTGGGGTGGTTATCGATCGCACTTACAGGTCTATCGAGGCATGCAGCCTCTCCAGGTAAATATTTCACAAGTTGACGCCCTGGCGGTGACCAGATCGATTTGTTTGGGAGTGGAAAATTTTTTGTTTGACGACATAGCGTCCGCAGTACTTGTCGTTGATTTAAGGGTTCGGTCCCCCCCCCCCGGACTCCTGAGGTGGCGAGGCAACTTTGGAAGCATTAGAATTTTCTTCGCAACGTCGGATGGAAATTGGCGGAGGTGGTAGGAGCTCATGGCGGTGGAGTTTGATTCTCGCTTCGCTTCGGCAATTTATAAAAGCACGATTTTGAGTCCGTAAAAAAATTGAACGATACAGAGAAGATTAGCATGGCCTCTGCACGCAAGGATGACATGCATAAAATCCAGAAATGGTCCAAAAAAAAAAAAAAAAAAAAAAAAAAAAAAAAAAAAAAAACACGATTTTGAGGATTTCTGAGGCTCGCAATTTTTCTGTACGTCGGCTGAAAATTTTCTCTGAAGTTTTGTTTCTGAGCTACCCCATGTCTCTAACGACTTGCTGTCTGTTGGCTGCTGAGTGGTCACAACGTTTTGCCAGAAGAAGGGACAACGTAGTTAAAGAACTTATAAGGTTAAAACAAGTATAAGAATGAGTATAGTTTCTGGATGAACTGTGTGTCCTTTGAGACTGGCGTCTGGCGTGTGTGATCTCCTCACAAGTGTCAAGTGGAGGTCTGTTGTGGTGCCAAATCACCGAAAGCACGAGTAGTTTTAAACCCTGGAGTGGATGCGCCGACAGCGATTATTCGAAGAAACCCTGGGCTGGATATTATCAGAAATTCACTCATAAGGAGGGTGGGAGGGTGAAAGAAGGTGGGGAAAGAGGTGGTGGGTTTGGGGACCAAATTACCTAACGAATGAGTAGCTTGGAAGTACTGGGTGGTTGCCCAGAAAGCCATTATTTGGGGGGGGGAGGAGGTGGTGGGTTGGGAGAGGGGGAGGGAGGGCTGCAGGAAATTGGGAGGTGCCCGTATCGGGTTATGCAATTTCTCAAAATCTCATTTTAGTCCTGGGATGGAATCATGTGTTTGGGTAAAAAACATTGTGTCGTGTGGTCACGAGCAGTTTAGATGATCTATTGACAAACGACTGAAACCATATCACAGTATGTACCAGGCCATTGTTATGGCCAGGTACTGACTAGGCTTCCTGAGCCACCCGGCCGGGCTGGCACGGCCGGGCGGCTGCACGGGTCACCCGTGCGAGGTATTTTTCTTTGTTAAAAAAAAAAGGCGGTGATGGGGGGCTGCTGCATGCAGAGAAGTGCCCGAATCTGCCTTTTCCACACATGCAGAGAAGTGATGATGGCAGGAGGAAGGCGGAGGATGGCAGGAGGGAGGAAGAAGACGGCAGAAGAAGAGGACCAAAGTGGCAGGAGGGAGGCGGAGGGTGGTGCGCGGGACGGGGAGATGGCGAGAGGGGAAGTGGGATGTAGCGCGAAGTAGGTGGGAGACGGCAGGATGGAGGTGGTAAATGGCGGGAGGGGAAGTGGGAGGTAGGTGGGAGAAGGCGGGATGGAGGTTTGATATGGCGGAAGGGAGGTAGGAGGAAGACAACGGAAAAGAGGCGGAAGATGGCGGAACAGCAGGAACGAAGTGGTGGGAGGGAGGTGGAGGATGGTGGAAGAGCAGGAACGAAGTGGCGGGAGAGAGGCTGAGGATGGTGGGAGTGACGAGGGAGATGGCGGGAGTGGAAGTAGGAGGTTGTGGGAGGGACGAAGGAGATGGTGGGAGGGGAAGTAGGCAGGAGCGGGAGTAAGAGTAGGCGGGAGCAGGAGGGAGAGTAGGAGGGAGTGGAAGGGACGAAGGAGATGGTGGGAGGGAAGAAGAAGGTAGCCAACGATGGAGGAGAAAAAGGTGGCGAAGCAGAGAAAAAGTCAGCATTTTTTTTTGAACACTGCGCTGGGGCCGCACGGGGGACCCGCATGGCCGTGCGGCCGTGGAGACGTCCTCCGGAGACAGTATGTCTGACCCTCTCTCTCTCTCTCTCTCTCTCTCTCTCTCTCTCTCTCTCTCTCTCTCTCTCTTTCTATATATATCGTCACAAACAGAACTGCCCGGTAAAACCGTAGGCAGAGAGAGAGAAGAGGACAACAAACGAGGGGCTGTGAC